CAAAAAACTTATTTCATGAAAATTTAGCTTCTGAAATATTTGAGTTGAATTTAATTAAAAGGAACAGTTCATATTTAAGTTATAGAAGAGGATAAAGCTTAAAATTTTCCTCATCTATAGCTATCGCTGTAATAATGAATTTAAGTCCAACTTTAGTGCAGTACAAGTTATTTCTGAGCTTTGATTTTTTTGGCAGGCTGATTGAGCTTTGAATCAATCTTATCTCATCATGCTTTAAAGCATGACTTTGTTTCTCTCTGTTAAAATCAGCCAATTTTGTCGCGGAATAGCGCCTGAAAGCCCACCTTTATCATTGAACACTTTCTTAAAAAATGAATTGTACCGACATTCAATTCGGTTTCCTCAATGTTCAACTACATTATGATGACTTTAATTTTTGCTCAAAGTCACCCACTCAACTTACAGCAATAGCTAAAATGAAAGAAAAAGAAAAAAAAACTCACAACCCATGGAAATTCAGAAATAGGAGTTCCATTCTGCCAAAATGTTCAAGTACCTAGAGCGCCTATCAGAGGTAATATGAACGAAAAGGTTACCGAAAGGATGAGGCTCCTATAAATTCTACCCTTAGTGCTATAGTGACATAATGGATATTTCCAATAGCATATCAACAATATAAATATCGCACCCGTCAAATGAAAACAGAATAAAATCAAGGATTACGTCTCGGTCAACTATGTTAATTTTATGTACCGAGAAAAGACACGGAAATGTGGTATTTTTTGTTTTTTGTGATGCTATCCTTCCTGGGCCTCCTGGATACTTAAGCATTTTGATAGCATGAAAATGCTTACCCCTAGACATGTATGAGTTTTATCTATTGTTTGGGGAGGGGGGCTTTTTGAACTAGACGCAACTCAGAAAAAACATCTGTAATTCAATTTTCTTCAACCTAGATCCACGTAATCGGAAGTTTTAGAGAAACAAAGTTAAAACGCTTGTAACTCTGTTCTGGATCACCATTTTCCCTGCGAGTCAAATCTGCGCCGAAAAAAGTATCACTAATGAGATTTATCTGTATGTTGTGGCATTTTACGGTATTGTTAATTTTTATTTAAGTGCATCCGTAACGATATCATTCTCCGCGGCGTATCTCACCATTTCACAATTGAGTTTACTAAATAAAAAATGAGGAAGCATAGCTTGTGGAGTATTCAAATAATTAGGGTCGTTGGTTTTCATTCTAGATATGGAATCTTTCTTTTACATTAAAGACGTTCCCTCCATTAAAGGAACATATTCTATCACCTCCGAATACATCCAAATTCAGCTACTTAGAGTCACAAAAACACCGGAGTAATAAAACAGGATTTATAATATAACATAACAGATCAAGAATCGTATCCTAACCCTATTTGATTCTGCTTCAATAATCGGCTTACGTGTTTAATTTGGTTTGTTCTTGCAATAATAAGCTGTTTTACTCTTATCTGTGTGGTTCTGACTGAAGTTTTGCTTTAACATAGAATAGAGTGCTGAAGTTGATGCTAGAATTTAACTAGTTTTTGCTAACCGTTTGAAACCTACGTATCTGCCGATGCATTTGGACTCAAAATCAGGATGGTAAGTGATGTGATTTTTGAATTCCAACTGCACTGAAATGATTATCACAGTATAAATATTTATACACACCACATGGTGGTATTTATACACTCCACATGGACACCCATGGTGGTGTTATTAAATACTGCAAATCTTTATTTCAGCAAGCAGATTGCTAAGCTAGAAACACTGAACTTTTTCTCCTTCTATTTCATAAATTCACGAGGACATTGACAAAATCAAATGCGTTTCGTACCAGACCGAGATGTATCAATTCTGGATATTTGTTCGACGAAAGAACCAAAAATAATAAAGATTACCCTCAAATGCGTTAAGCAGAAAGGAATCGAGTCACATCTGCTTTTGCCAGATTTAACAGAGCAATTTAATTTTTTACGTGAAAACGGTTGTGCGGATTTTGGTGCAAATTTTGAAGAATTTCCTGAACAGTATCAAGCAAATTCCATAAACTTTTCAAAGGAATAAGCACAGAAACATTTTCTAATAAAAAATTAAACGGTCCAGTTTTTGGCAATAGCCGATTTGGCCTGGTTCCTTTCTGCTAAACGCCGTCCGAACAACTATAAGTACCTAATGATAAAAGGCTTGCCTCTGAGAAGCTTTACTGCTTCCGTGAAAGTGTCAATTCAAATTTGGCGGCAAAAGCCGACGCAATGCCAGACTGAGCTCTGTTGTTGAAACGCGAAGGCTGTAATCGATTTTTGTCCGTTCAGAGGCTCTTTACTTCTCGTTTCGTTCGTCAGAGCGCAGTGCGAGTATCTCGTGGCGGACATCCTATATTTCAGAGATGAGAGGTTTATTTGTTCGTCAATACCACTGAAGACAGAGAAATACGTTTACTTTTTTTAAAAGTATAATTATTGACTCTAAAGCATTAATAAATAAAGGGGGTACCAGATCGACATGGAAAATATAAGTGAGATAATACTTTATAACTCTTCACTTATTCATCATTAAGTTTTATCTGGTGGCGGGTACATCAGATAGCTGAGCAGCTTATTTTTATGACTAGATAAATAAATTTCCGGATTTTAAAATAAAGTTTGCAGAGGAGTTTGCAGTTATTCAAATGTTGACGAATGAAGTCGAAGAATAAGCTTCACTGATTGCAACGTCAAGAATCTCGACTCCGGTTTTGTTTTATGACAAGAAAAGGAACCAGTAGAACTTTTACTTCCTAATTTTCCTAATTTCCTATGACTTGTCTTCACTTTTTGTATAATATGGATAGAAAATCAAAAGGAGATATTTTGGTGAGTTTTCTCTCTCTCTCTCTCTCTCTCTTCCCCCCCTCTCTCTCTCTCTCTAAAAAAAATTAAATAAGATCGGAGATGTTTAACGTTGCAACGGAGTTCTGCATTCTTTGACTTCAGCTATCGACGTAAATTTTAAGATTTCCTCCCGTCATTTTCCATTGAAAACTCCTAGAGGAATTTTTAGAAGAGAGACAAGATTTCAATAAAAATTCCGCATAAGTACGGTGGCTGTAAGTATAAACGAACTATTCTGTCCCGCTGGGGAAAAACGCCGTTTTGAAATTTAAACGTCGCCAAATTTTTGCTAATGAAATTAGAATTATTCTGAAAACCTTGTATGTTTACTTTTAAAGTATCGAAGAGTTTTATTTGCCATTTCAAAAGGAGTTTCTACACTTTCTGTACGGAAATAACAATCAGAAGTTCCTCAAATAGGGATGTCATATAGTCCAACATCTGCCTTCAATTAAGAGTTCCTAATGCTTTTTTCAGGGAAAAAAGGGTTTCTGAGCTGAAAAAAAGCTCAAAACATAATTTTCTACAAAAATGAAGAGACTAAAAGTTCTAAGAAGAAGAAGAAGGATTCTAAATGGCAATAAGTTTATGACGTCATATGAAGTGACATAACGACCCACGATCCAATCAAACATTGCTGTGCCATTCTTATTCTAAGTTAGACATTTTATTCAAATAAAATAAATAAGTAAAATGAATAAGTATTTACTTTAAAGAAGTATGATATTGCAAGACACTTGGACGGCAGAACTGAAATAATCAAACGGTGTTTTTCTAGAGTATAGTAATCATGAATTGGACCGAGTTCATCAGAAAAGAGCCAACCCACATTGAGTTGAAACTGAGAAAAAGAGGCTTAAAGTTGTATCCCTGCGTAAGGCTCAATGTTAAAAATACTCTTTAACTCATCTTTTTACAGACTAAATTCGTCTTTTCGACTTTTAGTTTCTGGCAAGAGAAAATGTACGGCTAGTGGAACTCAAAAACATTCTTAACTCAGTTTTTTCGAAAATGTGGGTTGGTTCCTTTCTGATAAACTCGGTCCAATTGTATGCATGCATTGTAAGTTTGGCACATCGTAAAATGATTGAAAAAACAATCGAGCTACAAGCCAAAAATAAATTAAACAAATAATATTTCAAACTACATAGAGATGAGATTTAATAAAAAAAACTTACAGGAAACAAAACTAGTTTCGACCGCCAACAACTGCGGTATTCTTCAGTGCACCAAAATCATCTCTACGCAATTTTAAATATTATTTGTTTAATTCATTTTTGGCTTGTGGCTCGAGTATTTTTTCAATAATTTTACCATGTTCTATGGCCTTGTCTCCACGGGCCTTTTTACGAGATTTGTCCCAGGGAAAAGTCCCCTTTACGAAGTTGGGAAAAATATTGAGTTAATCAATATTTTTCCCAGTACCAAGTATGGTCCTTTTACTTCTAAGGACCTACTGAGAGAGGAAGAAGAAGTGAAAACGAATCGTGCGATATTTTGTTGAATATAATCAGGTTTGTTCAGTTAAAATAATGTGTCTAATTGTCAATTGAGTGCAATTATGATTTTAATCCCGGTTAAATACTCGATTTTATCTAATTTATCTTCCCGCGCNACTGCGCAAGCGTCGGCCATGATGAATATTGCCGACGATGGAGGGACTCATCTAACAAAATGTTCGCCTGTGCAGTAGTATCGTTTTTGAAGCGGGAAGCTCAAAATAACGCAAATTTCTTACGCAGATTGTGAATTTATGAGTGCATTTCAGACTTTGCCGATGCGCTCATCGTGATTTTTGAGGCATCATCCATAGGAAACAACTCTTCATTCTGCACTAGCAAAATTTTGCAACAGGCCCATTGTCAATTGAGTGCAATTATGATTTTAATCCCTGTTAAATACTCGATTTTATCTAATTTATCTTCCCGCGCAAACTAGTCGCAGGACCGTATGAGCCTCGTCCCGTGGAGACAGTAACTGGGAAAAATCCCAGAAGTTTCATTCCTGCGATTCGAACTTGGGACAGATCCCATGTAAACGTCCCGTGGAGACAAGGCCTATGGGCGCCAGGCAAATTGGCATTAAAATGTATTTGAGCGCATCTTGGTGAACATGAAGCGATGACCTGTATTAATTTTGTTGCAGCTGTTCAGTTATCCTAGTATAAATCCTGTTAGTGCAATGTCAGGCGTGATTAGTCCGACGAATTTGAGCTTGTTTTCGACTCCGATCACTGTGACCTCCCCCCGGAGCAACCCCCGGCATCCCCCTCCGAGTTTGCCCCGGTGGAACCCGTCGGCGCCCTCCGGCTCGGCGCCGTTTATTAGCCTCGACGAGGACTACATGATGACGCCCCTTATTTCCGCAACTAGTGCTGACAACTCATCCACTGGACTAATGGACGATGGTAAGTACGATGTTCCCTTCAAAATTTTCATTGCCAGTCAGAATAAGTCACTTGCGCCAGTCCTACACAGGGTGTCCCCTGTCCCCAAGTCCGTACCCCCCTCGTAACTTTTGAACGGTTAGAGATAGAAAAACGAAACTTTGGGAATGTTTCTATCTGAAAGTGGACCATCTTTTAGATGGTTTCTTCTGGATCCTCGCACATTTTAAAACCAGACTCTTGGGTAATTTTAGACGATTTGAATAAAATCAATGAATAAATTACTCATGAATAATCAATTTTTTCCGGGTTTTCCTTATTTTGTCCAGAGAGTTGTTCATCAATCAGGGTGGATGGCGCAAGGATCGCACTTTTGTGTCATGCCTCGCGTCATATTGATAACGGCGTTTCGATGCCGTCTTGGACTTGCATTCTTGCAGGTATGCACTATAATCTAGGCTCATCGACGAGTGTGATCGGATAAGGTTTAAGCAGACCCCAAAAGTTATAGATGTCCGAGCGTGACCTCAGTTTAATATTTTAATGCAACTGCCTGTGCAGCTAGACCCTTCCTCATTCTCAATCTTGTACTTGTATTCATTTGATTTTTTTTTTTTTTTTTTTTTTTTTTTTTTTTTTTTTGAACTTTTTGGTCTTTCCTCGTTTTGCGCAAAGTGGAAATTTGTTTTTGGGCGGGGGGTCCAAGCTAAGAGGAGGCCGCGTTCTTTGAGAGAGAATCCTGAAATCCTCTTATAGCTTGCTGTTGCGAAAATTTAGAAAAATCCATGATTTGCCCCTTATTTTGAATAAGCCGTAGCAAGCTCCGACTAAGGGCATTCAGGGAAAACAAATTTCATAAAAGCAAAAAGTCTTGTTTTCACCCATAGAACATGCTCCTACAGGGCAGTGACGATTCCAGCACATTGGCAACTTGGTCAATACTCCATTTAAGGTCTTTGAATATATCGATTCTAGGTGAGACGCTGCCTCACCTAGAATCAATTGTTTTACATACACTGAAAAAAAAAAACACATCGGATCTAGAGTCCAGACTCTTGAAAACATTGACAAGAAAATGGACTCTTGATTCAATCAGATTTAAGCTTAAATCAAAAGGAAATCCGCTCAAATTAAAAGGCTCGGTTTTTGATTTAAGCTTAAATCTGATTAAATCAAGAGTATTTTTTCTTGTCGATGTTTTTAAGAGTCTGGACTCTAGATCCAATGTGTTTTTTTCTTCCAGTGTACGTTTAAATCCAGGAAAAGCATCGTTGCCATTGTAGCCAACTTTTGAAGAATCGCCACAGATCCCGGAACAAAGGGCATGGATTAAGTGGATCGCATTTAGCAAAAAAGAACCGAAAATCTCCCAGAATAGCAAATACCTTTGGCTTCCCGCCAAAAAATTGTTAATTTTAAAGAAAAATAATTGAGTAAATTAGATATTGTGCATGTATTATGTATTTTTAAGAGAAAAGAAGAAGTCGCACGATTTTGAAGAAGCTGTAATCCAGAGGCGGATCCAGCAATTTGGCAACACCGGATTCCCTCCGTTAAAATCTATGTTAAATAATCGATTCTTGGCGGAGCACTTGGCCCCTCCAAGGATCGATACATTTCCATAGGTTTAAATCGAGAAAAACAATGTTGCCAATTTGCTGGATCCGCTAATGCTGTAATCGCGCTGGTTCCTTTTTGCTAAATACGATCCAAGTGCAGTTTATCGTTTGACTGATAAGTGCGAAATCGATTGTTCACAGAGCGGTACTTTACAACTGTAGTGCACACTAGTGACGGAATGGACACGAGTCATTCTCTCGGAGGACCAGCTTCGAACGGCTCCAGTGGGAACCACACCCCTCCCTCCTCCCGATCCGGCCACTCGCCAGTATCCACCCCCATCAAAACGCAGCCCCCATAGTCTGCACCTCCCTCACCGCTCTGAAGGCTCCGTGATTTTCAGCTGGGTCCCACCTGCTCTAACGTACTTTTGTAACTACTAGGACACAAGTATGAATACTAGATGAATTTCGTGCCAAAAGTTAGGTGTATTTTGTAACTTATTTTTACTTAAGTGAATTATTTTCCTAGTTAAATTATCCAATTAGTTCCTTTTGTTCACTTGCTTTGTTTCAAAATATTTCTTATTTCCGAAGTCGCCGCTTGAAGCGGGGCTCTTCTTGGGTATCTCACAAAACTTTCGAATGCCACGGGCCGTATTTGGGGCTCTTTTTAGGTATCTCACAAAACTTTCGAGCGCCAAGGGCCGTATGTGGTTTTCTTTTGTAAAACGTTAGGTTTTTTTCGCACATGAATTTCTTTGAACAGTATTGAAGTTAATGAACCGTGAACACACCCAGAAAGAGTAACTAGCTAATTAAATCTCGCGTGTATGTTTTATTTTATTTTTTCCTGTTGATTTTCTTCATTAGTGAGTATATTTCTGAATTTTAATTCTTGAAGCTGCAAAATCTTCATTCGATGAAGGAATACGTGGAAGTAATAGCGGGTCTGATGAGAGGTACGTTTATACTTTTCTTCTTAAATTTGAAGATTGATGAAATGTTTGATCTTACTTAATATATATGAATTTATAGAAAAATTGGTTCTGAAAAGAATTCAAAACGTCCTCTCATTGCCTATCTTAGTCAATCAGCAAGTCGTTAAGTTTTGAAATTTTCGTTTCAAATTAATTTTTTCTACAACGACAGGCATGTTAAATGATGAGTATCAAGTGACTCTTATCCAGGCCATTTCTTTTTCGATTGCAACCGAAACGATGTGTACGGTTTTGTTGGTGAACTTTTGGAAGAAACCTTCATGCTAAGATTCAACGTCATCTTTTATACTATTAGACAGATACGCTATAAAAATTATAAGCCGAATCGAGCTTGGTACATCCTCCTAAAGTCGCAGTTCTTTTGAAACTCGTAGTCCAATTTCTATTTTTGACCCGGACTGAAAATGGTGCAGAGTTTTGAACCCTACCTGTGGCATAAGTTACCCTTTAAAGTTTTCCTTGCCCAAATTATGGGTAACTTACAACATGGCGTACCTATATTAGCGCACCGACATTGAACAGCAGTCTCATGAATTAACTTTTATAAAGTTTTGTTCAAATCCCTGAACAGAGAAAGACTGATGTTATTGTAATAAATTAACAACAAGTAATAAATGTGTGTTAGGTTATGTCACAACATGTTTGAACAAGTAATGTTATAAACAAGATCCATAATATTGCCTGAAGTTTGGTTCAACAAAAAACTTTCCACTGGAAGGTAGCCCACTCACCCTATATTGTCCGCCATTAGAGTGGCCTTGACCTATATTACTGAAATATTTAAAAATGTTTAGCTTATTTGAGTTCATGTACCTGATCCTTACGCAGATTTTCCCTCTTTTATAATTTAAGGCTTCTAAGACCTTGTAAGTATTGCATTTTTGCAATTTTATAGGAGTAATGATTTTTCCTTGTTCCTTTTGTTATCTTTTGTTTTTAACTCTGCACTTTGCTTTCTATACATTATTTTTTCTACCAATTGGGTTTTGATTCTCAAACATAGTCCAACTGAGAATACGTTGTATAAAATTAATTGAGATCCCCTCCCCAGTAATACGATTTACGGCTGTTTACACCACCCGTAAACAGCAAAAATGCGGAGGTACAAACTATGTATGGGTGCCACTTTTTTCCATCCAACAACATAATAAAAAAATACTGTCGAATATAATTGCCCTGGCCCGTTCTCATCCGAATAATCTCTGTCTCCCTCAAAATGCCCCACCATATATTTTTTTTTCATTCGAACGCATCCATCCTAACTGTATTATTCCTTGCCGGTGTTTAATTTTACTTGTATACATAATACATTTTCCCATGAAAATTGTGTCAGAAAATTTTAAATGTGTGTGATTTTTGGTTTAATTAAAAACAATTTATCTTCAACGCTCCTGCTGGTAAAACTATAACCCTTTCCAATTCGAATTTTAAAAAAATGAACGAATGAAAGTCATTAACAGAAAGGGTGATAGTAATAAATAAATAAATAGCAGAATATATGTATTTTAAGGAAATCAAGTGTCAAAACATTTTACTCCGTCCATTTTGTAAAGAGCCACCTCACGCAATCTGCGTTTCGAAGAAAATGAATCAGTAAACCATTAAGAAAATGAGACTTTTCCTCATTGCTCATCCATTAAAATAATTCTCAGTCAATTCCTTTGTGAATGTCACTATCACGAAAGCTAAAGGCCAGGGGAAAACGGAGAAGAAGGGATGTAAGAAACCCCAAGCAAACTCACAGAAATTATTTACAGGGCTGCTGAGTTATTTCCTTAATCTCATCCTACAAATCCCTATTACTTTAAACATTAAAACAACAATTATTATAATATGTTAACTTACAAATTCTATGTAAAACTAATACATAAACTTATACGTTACATAAATTTTCATTTTTATTATTTCAGCTTTCTAGCTGCCTGAAAGCCAAAAATCAAATTCATCTCTTGAAAATGCAAGTAAATCCCGGCATGCCAACTGATTCATGTATTTGAAAAACATAATAACCCATTTATAATTGTTTTTCCTGCAGTTAAAATGTAGAGAGAAGTTGGGCGTTGTAAAGAAGGCTGAATAAAAAGTTTTAGAATAACAGATATGGCATGTTTTTAACTACGAGACTCAAGTTTCTGAAGTTGATCCTCCATTGTAAAAGAAGTATTTTGAAACAACTGTATTTGAATAAAACTTATTTTATCCCAAGCTAGCATAATTCATTTAGCGGCTTTTGACATGGCATTCAATCTTTCATAATTTCTTAGCATGTACATTTAAACCATTGTATGACTTCTGGAAAAATAATTAATGCAATACCGCTACTTATTTTTATAAATTGTACAGTTTCATCAACATTTTTTTCACTCTATTTATGACATTGCTGTTATTTTTCTTTTTCCAGTAATAATTAGTAGCTCCTTTTTTTGTTGGGTACATATGTCACAATGTTTATTGTGATTCAAATAGAAAATGTTGTTCTTTACTTAATTTTTTCTTAGATAAATCACGATTGTTACTCTGCTGAATGCCTAGCCAGGTTCAGAATAGAATTATGAGTTTTGGGTTTTAAGTTATAGTTAATGTAACACTTTTTTATGTTTATTCGCCTCTTAAGTATCGATGAATAATAAATTTGATCAAATGAATTTGTTTAAAAAAGAAAAGAAATCATACAAAAGTTTTGAGATATTTTTCTTTTCCTTCTTTCCCCTTAAAGGGTTATAGGACATTTCGTCAACGATTTTTTGTCCGCGCACCTGTTTTTTCCGGTAATTTACGTCCACGCGTTTCTTTGGCACGGGAGTTTAGGTCCACGTGCCAGTTGAGACCCAAAGTTAATTGGGCCACATGTAAATACAAACGACAATTGCTCACGACGTTTTTGGATGAAAATGTATAATGTCTTGGAAGAATGAGGGTTTGCTTGCTTTTTTGTTTTGTCTGTTTGTTCCAACGGAGAATAATACATAGTTGAGAGTTTTGGTAAAAATGGCAGAGCGTCAATTCCATGAGACAAAATTCACTAAAACTCTCTACACCTCTTTGGTGTAACAGGACTTAACTATCTTTCAAGAAATTCCCACCGTGTTATACCTGAACCGAATAAACCTCTATGTTTGCCTCAACTAAAGGCTCTTAGATTTTTCCTGTGTACGATAAGTATCTTGATTTATTTTGCGAGGAAAGATCTGTACTTTTAAAGGATGCCTGTCATTCTTAATACGTTCAGTTTCACATAATACTGTGCAACACCTCTGCTGTGAAATAGTTCCTTCAGACGGCGCCGTACGGGCGGTCAGCGCGAAACGCGCATTGGCGCCTACAAACCTAAGTGGATACTTCAAGCATTGTGCAATACGTAAAGTATCCACTTAGGTTTGTAGGCGCCAGTGAGCCTCTCGCGCTGGCAGTACGCCGCTCCGCTCTGTTATAGGCTTTAATACCTACTTATACTCGCATCGTCAGCGTTTTTTAACTCATGATTTTGAAATGTTTGCACACTCTGCATTGATTGTTCTCATCGAAATTGATGGGCAAGAAATATGTATCAATTTATCAAAGGATAATAATATTATAATGTGTGCTTTTTAAATATTGGTGGTTCCATGTCAAATCAAATGATTTCCAAAGCACTTTAATTTTTTCTTTTACATTTTGTGCTTTTATTGTGCTGCAGCGAGGTGTACGCGCAACCAAACGCTCAAAATTTGACGTATTTGACTCTAAAAGATCGATGTACGAATAGGTTAAAACTAAAGATTACGTGCCTCTTGGTTTTTTCCCTCTTTTATTCATTTTTGCAGTTTTTGTCGGCACAACTGCGGCTCGTTGAGATTAATGTCACTTAAAAAAGAGATTTGGAGAGTACATGATCTACTGAACGAGTGCAAACTGAATTAATTTTCAGATTAAGGAAGTTGTGTGTGACCAAGAGTGGCTGCCACCTTTTAATCGGGACTGTAGTAGGGCGGCATTTTCCTCGACCGGGGGTGGCTACCGTGCTACTGCCACTCTTGATTATATGTACATTACAGTAATTGGACACTCTGGATGCTACTTTCATTTACGTTCTCCTAGGAAATCCATTGTATCTATACATTTTCACCGGAAACCTGCACATCTTTCCTGTTCCATACCAAATTCAGAAAATCCGCACTGAGGAAGAAAAATCATGCTATGTAAACCGCAGCACAAATTCAAATGCATCGGTCTAGCCGTTCGGCTCATGTAATCACTAATGGTGCATTCTCCGTGCTGTACGTGGAGAAAAATACTTCGTGAATGGGACCCGAAATTGGGGTCATATGGATTTGAAGTTTTCGGCCCAGGCATCCGAAAACTTGAAATCCAGTTGCCGAAGTTCGGGCCAGACATCTGAAGCACTTCGGTATGTACCAGGACCTGAACCCTTTGGCGTATACCGAAGTACCTCAGGCGTACCTCAGACGGCAGGTAGATCTTAAGTTTTCGGATGCTTGATCCGAAAACTTTATAGATCCGTATGACTTCAACTTCGGGTCCCACGCACGAAGTTTTTTTCTCCGTATAAGAGCCGCATGCTGCTCGGTTCTTACAACTATGCTTGGTTCATGTAACCGAACTTTTAAAGCAAAATGAACCGTAAAAAAAGAATAAAAGAACAATTTAGTTTTGGGAAAAGGCTGCAAATAAAGAACAAAGAATAAACAAAACCCGGAACGTTTCAAAATAGTTACAATTTCATTTTCAACCGGAAAATAAATCAAAAATAAAATGAGCCTTCGCTACGCTGTTATTGCGAGACCTAGACTAAGCCTTTTCCCCAAACTAAGTTGTTCTTTTATTATGTGTATTTTGGCTGATTAAGTTGTTTCTCATTCCGTAAAAAGAATTTGAATACATGAGTTGAAGAGTTGAAAGAGCCCAGCGACACAAACCGATGATAGGGTTACGCGATCCGAATAGTGCGGCTATTATAGAATACAGCACCAGGCATCAGAGACAATATATTTCAGATACCCTGTGCTGCTGTATCCTCCTCATAGTTGAAAAGTCACTTTTGAAAATCAACACTCAAATTTTCGCTCCTCGGACGTTAGAGCGTATACCTATTCCCATATGAGCTCTGGAAAGCATAGACTTATACGGAAGATCGGGCTCACATGAAAATCGAGATACGCCCTTACGTCAGCCGAGATTAGCCGAAATGACTAATGACCAAAGCAGAGCAGTCCTGATTTAATTTCCCAAAACTCACCTGAAAATTGCTCACGTGCTTCGTTAATATTTATAACATGCAACACCCGCATCGATACCCCCAGACTGACGTTCCAGCTTAAGCGATTGGAAGGGTATATTCGTTGTTTCCTCAGCGGAGGAACAGAACTACATTTCAATGTTGCCAAATTCCCCCCCCCCCCCCGAAAAGTGCGTTTTTCCTAGAAAATCTTGGGAGAATCTTGTTCTAAATGAAATTTCTCGCGATATTTCTTATGATCTCATGTCAAAATTAGCTAAATTTTGAGAAAATATTGTACAAGTTCGTGAGGAATTCAATCGTTTGAGTCAATCTTGCAACCTTGGAATTGAGTTACGTTTCTTCGTTCGTCTCTAAAATGACTGTCTACCAAGTATGTATGGGAGACTTGAAGGAAAAGATTCATAAGTGCAGTTTTTGAAAAAATTAAGCTATTAATAATTTCAAGTAAAACTATTTAGTCTATATGCATATTCTGCGAACATTTTCTCCCAAATTCCAATGTTTAAGCATCAAAAAGCCAGTTCGGAATTTCTTTCCTGCTCAACGATCCATGTAATTTCCTAACTTCAAACACGTATTTCTCGAAGGAGCAAAAACTGCACTTATGCGCCTTGTCGTCCAAGCCCTTCATTAGACCGAGTTTATTCTTCCCTCTGTGCGAGTTCTTTCAGTTCCTTCAGTGCATCTGTACTTCTTTGATGGCAGTAGGCGCAATGGACCTACCTGTCCTAACTAGGGGTTTTTCAGGGATCCCAAATATGCAGAATTGATCCCTGTGAATAAATGGGGACGGAGCCCCTCGCCACGCCACGATAGGAAAATCCAGAAAATATTTTACAGGTACAAGTTCGTAAAAAATCCAATTGTTTGGGTCGATGATTCTGCAACCTTGAATGAGCATCGGACTAGGGTTAGTACAAACTACACATCCATGCTCCAGACTTTCAAATTTTCAGGGTTAAAAGCCGAATGGAGTCTGTTTCTGCAGATCCGCTCGTCATCTGTGCGAGTTCTTTCAGTGCATCAGTACTTTTTTGATGACAGTAGACGCGGTGGCCCGACCTGTTCTAACGAGGGGTTTTCCAGGGATCCCAAATTCGCAGCGTTGATCCCTGTGAATAAATGTGCACGGAACCCCCGCCAGAGGACGACAGGAAAACGCGGGAGTCTCAGTTGGCGGAAAAACCACCCCGAGTCACAAAACGACCTGATCTTATGCTGCCGTGCTAAGGAAGAACGCCGTATGAACATTCAAGAGTTGCCAAATTTCCTTCGATAAAATGTTTATTTTTGAGGAAATTCATGAATATTTTCCCTTGACATTTTCAGAAACTTTAGGTAAAGTTGCAAGCAACGTTATCTGAAAAATTGGAAGAAAAATATTCAAAAATTTACGAGGAAATTTGCGTATTATCAAAGGAGATTTGGCAACGCCTGACGTTTCATACGGCGTTTTTTCTTAGCACAGCTGTATGCGCCTTGTCCTCCGAGCCCCTCATATTTTATGACCGATATTTGGACCGCTTTTAGCAGAAAGGAACCAAGCCACATCAGCTTTTGCCAAATTTAAGTGGGCACTTTAATTTTTTACGAGAAAACGTTTGTAATGATTTTTTTTGAAAATTTTAAGGAATTCGCTTCGCACTATGGAGAAAATTCCCCGAAACTTGCATGAAAATCTGCACAACCGTTTTCATGTAAAAAATTAAATTGCCCAGTTAAATTTGGCGATAGCTGATGTGGCTTGGTTCCTTTCTGTTTAACGCGGTCCATTTTTTCCCTCTCTGTGCGAGTTCTTTCAGTGCATCTGTACTTCTAGACGCAGTGGCCCTACCTGTCCTAACGAGGGGTTTTCCAGGGATCCCAAATTCGCGGAGTTGATCCCTGTGAATAAATGTGGACGAAGCCCCCCGCCAGAGGACGACAGGAAAACGCGGGAGTCTCAGTTGGCGGAAAAAGCACCCCGCGTCGCGTCGAGTCGCGTTGTCGGCGGGGGAGGGGGTGGCGGATCTTGCCCCCTCGGCGTGTGTCGGGCGTCGCGGCGCTCAGTGTTGCTTGGCGCTAACTGGTCGCGGTGGCTCGCCGATGCCGATCGGTGGCGTTTCCACGCGGCGCACGTGGTGTTCACCGTTCTTCCTTTCTTCTTCGCGGCCGACCGATCCGCTCCGACCCAGGTTCCCCGGGGATTAATTTCGCGCCGAGCTGAGCCGCGTCTCGCCTCGCCGTTCGCGCGCTCATTGACGCGTCGACCCGACAACCCCATACCTGCATGCCGTTCGCTTTTCTCACCACTTGTTTGTCTTCCTTTCGTCGCCCCGGTGAGCCGGTCTTCTGTCACCTCACATCGGAGCCTCTGATTTTAAAACCTGCCGAATCCGCTGACTGGACCGCGTTAAGCAGAGGGGAACCAAGCCACACTACTGCCGTGCAACGCAAAA